GAGAAAATAAAGAAATAGATAAGTAAACAGAGAAAATAAAGAAATAAATAGATAGAGATAAATAGATAGAGAAATAAAAAGATAGTTATAGATGCATATAGATTTGTGTGTATGCGTTCCTTTGTTCTTGAATCTATCTATTTACCTGCATTATGCTTCAATCTTGTCGAGTGTTTGGTATATTGGTCAAAGAAAACATGTTCTGACTTCGCTTGGCGTTGTCTCCACCCTGTCCTTTGTTCTTCTGTCTAGGCTTAACTATAACCTGACTTCATGCATTGTTTCTGTGCCAATGTCTTTTTTTTACGTGTTTATGTGTTATGACTGTGTACTGTTGAGGCAATGGGAGTCTAGGGGTAACTATTAGAATTAAAATGTAATGCACAGTTTTTGTGTTTCGATATTTACTTTTACTTACTTACTTTTTCTTTTCGTTACCATTATTATCATCATCATCATAATCTTCATTAAAGTCATTATCGTTATCAACACCCGCGTCATCCTCTTCCTCCACCTCATTGTTATAATTATCAACAGTCCTTCATTTTTTAGCAGAAATAGCAGTATTTTTTAGCAGAAATAGCAGTATTTTTTAGCAGAAATAGCAGTATTTTTTAGCAGAAAAAACAGTATTTTTTAGCAGAAATAGCAGTATTTTTTTTAGCAGAAATAACAGTATTTTTTAGCAGAAATAGTATTTTTTTGCAGAAATAGCAGTATTTTTTTTAGCAGAAATAGCAGTATTTTTTAGCAGAAATAGCAGTATCATTATCATATTCCCTTATCATCTTATTATTTTCTATGACCATCATTATCATCCCTATTACATCAGTATCAAAGACGAAATCATCACACACATGTAGTCTAAGGAAAATTGTAAGCAAAATACAGGCCACACCCTTTTGAAATATACCATCATCATTACATACTCTGTCATTCGTTACGACAGTTCCCCTCTTTAAGAAAATGGAGGTGGAGAGACAGGAATGCATGCGCACACACACACACGCACACGCACACGCACACGCACACACACACGCACACACACACGCACACACAGAGGCAGAGAGAGGCAGAAAGAGGCAGAGAGAGGCAGAGAGAGGCAGAGAGAGGCAGAGAGAGGCAGAGAGAGGCAGAGAGAGGCAGAGAGAGGCAGAGAGAGGCAGAGAGAGGCAGAGAGAGGCAGAGAGAGAGAGAGAGAGAGAGAGAGAGAGAGAGAGAGAGAGAGAGAGAGAGAGAGAGAGAGAGAGAGAGAGAGAGAGAGAGAGAGAGAGAGAGAGAGAGAGAGAGAGAGAGAGAAAGCGAAAGCGAAAGCGAAAGAGAAAGAAAAAAATAAATTATAAAATTAAAGAAAAAAAAAAAACATATTCAAACCCTTTTTCCTCCTCCCCCCCCTCCCCCACAGAACGAAGCAATGATGCGGGAGGAACACAAACAAAGAAGCCAAACCGCCCACGAAGTATGTGAAAAGTACGATGTCTACATGGGCCAGGACGACTACATTAAGAAGTCAACACAGCAAGGCGAACAGATACAGTACTCGGACTGGTTTACGCTCAAACGGTAAAGCACTCACTGAGGAAGTTGCGTACTATTGTGTAGTAGTTGTAGTAGTAGTATAGTAGCAGTTGTTGTAGTTTGTAGTAGTAGTAGCAGTTGTAGTTTGTAGTAGTAGTAGCAGTTGTAGTTTGTAGTAGTAGTAGTAGTTGTAGTTTGTAGTAGTAGTAGTAGTAGTTGTAGTTTGTAGTAGTAGTAGTATAGTAGTAGTAGTTGTAGTTTGTAGTAGTAGTAGTAGTATAGTAGTAGTAGTTGTAGTTTGTAGTAGTAGTAGTAGTAGTTGTAGTTTGTAGTAGTAGTAGTATAGTAGTAGTTGTTGTAGTTTGTAGTAGTAGTAGTAGTTGTAGTTTGTAGTAGTAGTAGTAGCTGTAGTTTGTAGTAGTAGTAATAGTAGTATAGTATTAGTTGTTGTAGTTTGTAGTAGTAGTAGTAGTAGTTGTAGTTTGTAGTAGTAGTAGTAGTAGTTGTAGTTTGTAGTAGTAGTAGTAGTTGTAGTTTGTAGTAGTAGTAGTAGTTGTAGTTTGTAGTAGTAGTAATAGTAGTATATTATTAGTTGTTGTAGTTTGTAGTAGTAGTAGTAGTAGTAGTAGTTTATTGTTCATTAATAATAACATTGTTATCATTAAAATCATTTTTTTAATATCAATATTATTATTATTATTGTTATTATTGTTGTTGTTGTTGTTTTTATTATTGTTATTTCTTTATCATTATTGTTATTTGAATTGTTAATGTAACCATTATTGTTGTTATTTGTTTTATTATCATCATTATTATTTTTGTTATTATTATCACTATTATTTTTATCATTCATCATCATTATCATTATTAATAATAACAATAATGACAGTGATAATGATAATGATAATGACAATAATAGTAAAAATTATAATAATGATGAGAATAATAATAATTGTGGTAATACTTTAAATAATATTGATAA